AAAAAGAAAAAAGAAAAAAGAAAAAAGAAAAAAGAAAAAAGAAAAAAGAAAAAAGAAAAAAGAAAAAAGAAAAAAGAAAAAAGAAAAAAGAAAAAAGAAAAAAGAAAAAAGAAAAAAGAAAAAAGAAAAAAGAAAAAAGAAAAAAGAAAAAAGAAAAAAGAAAAAAGAAAAAAGAAAAAAGAAAAAACGACCCTCTAGGGGATTCGATACCCCGACCTTACTGTTTTAACCCGCACACTCTTCCCAGCCGAGTAAAGAAGGCTCTTTTTATTATAAACTCGGTTTTTTATTTAACGATATTCTAAAAATATAACAAAGAAAAGAACTAGACCGAAAATATTAAACCATTATTTACTATACTCAATACCGCTAATTAAAAACCATTAACTATTAATAAAATTGTCATTTATTAAAACAAAACTAAATCATTGACTTTTTTCATATCACTTGTTGTCGTTTTCAATTTAACCCAAATGATAATTTGACACGTCTAATCTATCTAATATGACATTTTATTCATTTTGAATAATTTAGTTGATTTTTTTTATTTCGTCGTATTAACAATTCAAGACCAACCTATTTTTCGTTTTGGTTTTATAATTTTTTTGTTGTTTAGCCATTTTGTTTTTGTTATTTTTAACACATATATATTTATATAAGAAGAACAAAAAAAAATAAAATACAAACCATTTTTTAGAAAAACAACTTTATTTTTATTATAAATTATAATACTGTTTTTATAAATAATAGTAAAACCCAATATTGTTAAATAGAAAACAGACTTTAATAAAGTCAATTAGATAGTTAATTCTTCTTTCTTGGCCCCCATTAACACTAGTCAATGAATTTTCATTTCTCTTGGCATCTACAGACTGTTCTATTTCATAAGACTAAGATGTACGGTTCATGTATATCATTAAGTCTTGTATACAAGTGACAATGAAACAACAATAATAATATAAGTGTTAATTTAACATAAAATAAACCCCCAAAAATTTTATAAATATAAATTATGAGTATAAAAACTCAAATTTAAAAACTGCTTTGCATTGGTTTAATTATTATTAAAAAATAATTAATTTTAACTTATTCAGAACATTTTATACAACTTGTTTGTAAACTTAACAATTGTTTTAAAAGGACGTTTTATTATAAATACATTTTGATGTATATATGTATTGTATTACTTGTGAAATATCAAGTGCATTAATTATTGAATATATTTATATTGCCATTTATGTGTGTTGTTGTTATATGTTTTATATTTTTACATTCCACTTAATTTTAATATAATACATATTATTATAATGATACTACATATTGGAGAATAATTTGTATTGAGGTAACTAATTTGTCTACACCTTCAAATGTATAAATTTTATATTTTATTATACTCAAAATACCTATTGGATTTATTCAGATCAGACTTTTTTAATGAAATTTTTGTAAAACATAAACTTAAAAAATATATCCAAAAAATGACCATGTTATGTTCGTGACTCGTTTATTATTAAATAAAACGGGACATTATGGTGTTGTGGATAAAAAAAGTAACAAACCACACTCAAAAATTAATTAAAAAAACAAGCATTAATTTGATTGATAATACAATTGACACTTTTTTATGAAGAATCAATAAACAAAAATTAGAAGAATTGTTTGAACAAAAGTATGATATAAATTAAGTTAATAATTGCACATAAAATTTGTTTACTGTGACCGTTTTTTCTGACCCTCACTCCAATTTTCAGAGTAAAGCATTTACCTCAATACTTTTGAATAAAATCAACCTCTATGTGACCATTTATGCTTCCCTTTGTCAACTCATTCATTGTCAGTATTATGTGGACGTGGATGTGGTTCCACCCCGCTTGCAGAAGATCAGGGGGATCCGCGCCGAGGGAGGACTGGAAAGTGTGGAACGGTGCACAAACAGATTGTTTGAGTGCGTCTTCCGGAGTCTTCTTTTCAATGCTGTCTCACTTGGTATCCACTGACTCGAGGTGACTAATAACAAATAATGACTGTTGTTCATTATTTGAATTCGATACCAGACCAAATGTTTACTTAATTTTCTTTTGCATATTATTTTAAATAGAAAATAAGGACGGCATTTAAAATTAATAATGTAAAAGGCCATCCTTGGTTGTGTTGGTTTTAAAACACTTGTTTATAATGCTATTAAAAACATAAACAATACAAACAGTTGATATCGTGTACACCAAAAATTTTAGCATGTTGTGAGTAAATCATCTTTTTATATTTTTATTTTTGAGTTTTAGATAAATATTTTTTTAGTTTGTTTATTTGGTTTATAATTAGAAAGTAGACAAATACCAATTTTGGAGATTAAACTCAATAAAATATTGTAGAATTTGTGACTTAAAACTGGGAAATTGAGATGCTAATGAGTTTATAAGACAAATTAGTTGCCCATCTGTACATATAGTTTAATTATATTGAAAACTTTATTTACAAACAAAAAAGTGTCTGTGCACAAATCTGATTTAAAGGTACTTGCTTAACAACGTTGGCGTTAGTGTGATATCACAACAATAATAATGAAACAATAAACAACAAAAGTGTCACAATAAAAGCGGATTTAAATATTTACGAATTCAAGATTTCAGGACGTAAGTTGCAAAAAATAAGAGAAGTCTAATGTGTGCATAGGTCACAAACATATTTTCTTTATATGTGTTTGGACACGCAAAAACAGACAGCATTGATAAGTAAATAATCATGTGAAACAAAAACTCCAATATTGCCTTGAAAATCAACGTAATGCTGTTTGACCATGTATCGATATAATCTAATTGAGCGTTAAACAATTCTATTTTTAAAACCCCGATGTTGTTTTGATTGTTAAAAATTGTTAAAATTGTTAAAAAATATTTAAAACTTTTCAAAAATGGTTGTTTCAACTTATTTGGCTATTTATAACCCATTTTTGTCTTTTCAAATAAAAATCGGGGTTTCGATTATTTACAAAAAGAATAAAAAAGGTGATAAGAAACAATGTTTTATAAAACAAAATAACGAAAAAATAAATCAATTGAAAAGTAACCTAAATATATTTTAGTTAGTTAACCATATAGCCTGTTA